CCTGATCCTTTTTGCTTCACCTGTGGCTAGTATACTTTGAAACAAACATTAATTATTGAAATCTTTCGTACTTTAAATTAAATTCCGATGAACAGGATAAGAACTGGGCACGTATAGTTTGTGAAATATTAGGTTGTGGCATAATTTCTTTCGTTTTTGTAATTTATTTAAATATTTATTAGTTATTAATACTTCTGATATCCTCTTTCATTGTTTACGACCTCCTGCAACAATCCACTAACTGTTTAATGCCTCGACGATAGAAATCACTAGGTTTTGACTCGAAAAATTGACCAAGCCACGTTTTAAGTTCTGTTAAAAAAAACATTTTTAGAAAGCGACTGAAAAATCTAGTAGTCTGAAGGAACTAAATCAGGAGAATATGGTAGTTGTGGCAGAACTTTCCAACCGAGCTCTTTAATTGCATGTTTGGTCATGTTAGCGACGTGGGGCGAGCATTGTCATGTTGAATAATCACACTTTTCAGCTGAAGTGCCTCTTTGAGCCCCTGTTCATTTGGTCAACATATAGCTTCGCATTGATCGTTTGGTTCTTTTGAAACATTTAATCTTCGTATACAGTATATATGTCTCGAGCAGTTTTGTGATCTTGATTAAAATCAATGCGAATAAGATGTCGAATATAATTATTCTTGTCTACTTCGCATTCCACCTGAAAGAGGTGTCTATTCTGAAATAAAATTTCAATAACTTTAGACAGTATTTTCAGAGGATGACCAGAATTACCAAGAAGCCAAATAATGTTACGAAAGATTGTTCTTCGAGATCATTCATAGAAAATCAGAAAAAAAAAATAAATAAACGAATTTGTGTAAAAACCTTACATGTTTAGCAAATTTGAAGAAGGGAATTAGAATTTGGAATAAAAATGATTTAATTAGAGTCTAAAAATCCTGTTAATGAATGCTATTTCTGTTTAGTTAAGAATCAAGGTTGCTACCAAATTCCTTGTCCACATCAAGCATGATAGGCACATTAAAAATAATTCAAACTTTGATTTAAAGTTTTCATGCCATTCGTTGTAATCTGAGTACATTTGTGTTCGACTATTTGGAGAGTTTCCTTGGAATCCTGGATAATGTAAATGTTGAACAAAGGGAGAGATTTCATGGAGACATCAAAACAATGGAGGATCGTTATGGAGGACATTGGGGTTAAAACAAGATAGCTGGTTATTGCCTGTTGCTTGAAAAGTGATTGCATCAATGTTCTTCATCGTAGAAAAGTCAAAGAAAAGAAAGTTTTATTTACTAGCAGGCTTCACCCACTCGCTATCGCTTCGCAAAATAATAGTTATTCCCCTTGAACCATGAAAGCAGCAATAACGGTTAGTATAATATATTAATATATATATTTTTAACCTCGCATAATCTGGCAACCGCGAATCTGAGCTCAACGAAAATCGTTCCCTGCGCCCAACTTTTCTAGGGCTTTTGAAGGAGCTATGAATTTTTGAAATCTGAATAGTGGAAATTGAGGAGTTGCTTGGACACACACACGCACAAACACACATACACTGAACTTTATATATAAGATTGATCTCATTTTTTTGTTAAACGCAACGTTTCTGCCGCTGTGCTCTCCGGTCTTCTGCTGGTGCTTGTCGATCAGGGTAACTGTCGTGGATTCCGAGATGAAATCCGGTCTCAAATGAATGACAGACACAGGAATGAAATATAGCAAATAAATGTATTGACGTAATAATACAATTGGTAATACGGTTAGTAGATTCAGAAATGCGGTTAGTAGCAATAATAATATATATACAGTCTGGGAAATTCAGTATCGAAGTAGGACTTCCTTCTGAGTCTACGTGCTCGCAACTGTGACTCCTACAAAGCGATTACCTCACTCTCTTACTCTCTCACAGTTCACTGTATCATTCTATCAGTGTATCTCTGTTACTCCCGGGTATTCACCGGCAGCAGTACAAGTACACACTGGTCGAGTCCACTTGTATGAAAAAGGGGTGGACCCCTTAACAGTAACCATCATGGAATTTCGAACTAAACCCTTTATTTAATCTACAGGGATTGGTTATTCCTATTTCGCTGACCATTTTGTCTTCTGCTTATCCGGTATTGCTCAGTTTTTGCGCGCCCTGTTTCCACCGCGCGGTCCAGAGATTGAACTCACAATTACTATGTCAGCAAATTCATGAACCAAAGCTTTAATCCATTAGACTATTGTCCCGTCGAAAGACTTTACCAGGAAAACTGTGTTAGAATTTTGAGGGATGATTTTCTGTCGTACCATAAGTTGCTTGAATTGAAATAAAGGATGTTATTGTTGCTAATTTTTTTCTTAAAAAATGTAATGCTCGTAATATTTTTTCAAAAATGTATTACTGATATTTTTACTATAAAGATCTATGTTTATACTTTCATACTGTTTTGATCCTAGTTTAGGGGTTCACTATTTGCCTATAGCTGGGGGCGCCCCCCCCCCTAACAGGTGCTTCCACCCCGGGTCAGCGTGAAGCTGGGAACAACACCAATTAAGAGGTGGTTCTGCCTTCTCAAAAAATCCTGATCAGAGCCCTTGCTGCCGGATGTTGTTTGTCATCATACTCAGGACAAGAATTACACGTAGAAAATCTTTATAAGTTTGATATGTTTCCCTATTTAGCTTCATTTGAAATTAGGAGATGGAATGAATCGGAGTTATATTTCAGTTTTTAAATTTCGTTTTCTTTCGTTTTTTTAATCACAACGCCCCAAGCAAAGCATAAATGTCACTAGTTTGCAGGGGGGTTACAGGGAGTGAGAGCAAAAGTGAAAGAAAAGACTGAGTATAGCGAGGATTGTGAAAAGGACAAAAGATGAACAGGGTTCAAGAAGACAGAAGATAGCGATTGACGCGGCATGTAATTTTTTGAAGGTTATAGTTATCAGGGGAGCAAGTAAACGGAAGGGTGTTCCACAGGCGAGAAGTACGGGAAATAAACTGTCGGAGTAGAAGTAGCAGTTGCATTTAGCTATTAAAACAATAAACAGATAGGACCTAGTTGCCAAACGCTTAAATTCATGTTGTTGGGACACCAGGGGAAAAAGCTCGCTAGAGAAGTTGCCATGAAAATATTTCTAGTAAAGACAGAGAGAAGACACGTCACGTCTGTGAGAAAGTGACTGAAGTCGAGATGCGATTACATTACAGATCCTTCTTTGGATTTATCAAGAACCTCGAAATGAATAACAGGCGCACCGGACCAGAAATTGCAACAATATTCAATCCACGGACGAATGGTAGATTTGTAAATGTATAAGATGGATTCTGATGAAAAAGATTCACTGGCACAACACAGTGACACGGTTATTGATTCAATATAGTCGCTCCACTTCATGTCAGTTGAAAACGTGAGGCCAAGAGGGCACAGTGCGTTGCTCTCCAGGAGTCTAGCGTCAGTCATGCTGATTGGTTGTGTAGATATCACATGTTTATTAGCGTTAGTGTTCATGTTTGTTTCAGATTTTAATTGAACGTTTATTTCTAAAGTTTTTACTTTAACTTTTAATTTTTACTGAAGAAACTGAATTAAAATTTTGGGTAATTGTCTTCTGTGGTACCATAAATTGTTGGCATTCAATAAAAGGCTGTTATTTTCATCGTGACTTATACTTTGTGGGATTGTGGGATCAGTTTCAGGTTCTCTAACTTTCCAGGATCAAAATAGATTTTTTGGTTGATTTTTTTGCCAGAGAAAAATCTAAACGTGAAGTACAAAATGTGACTTTTTGAGTTCAGCACTTCCAAAAATGTTACGATGAAGTTAATATCATGCACAAAATCTTTTATTTAGTTTTTCTGTAAACCTGTGAATACACGATAATAGATCATTTTCACGCCATTTATGATCCTGTCTCCTCATAGATATTAGTGAATAGGAGAGAAAAAGCTTATACTAAATTCTTCTTCTTCTTCTTCTATTTGACGTACCTCTTCAAATCGTGTCTCTCCATCGTTTTTTCGCTATCTCTCCTAATACCTGTTCTGTCATACATTTACACAAGCCAGTTAGGTAGGTTACACGCTGTTTTCCTCTGTCTCTTCAGCAGGTCTTGTGAGTGTCGAATTTTCTAAGCACCCTTTCCTCATGATGTGCTCAATTTCAACTGATGTTGAGTAGAAGTTCCCTTTTGAATTCGATTTTCTCTAAAAGTTTGTCGTTGCTCACATGTCCAGTCCATCCTTCTCGGCATCCTTCTGTAGAACCACATATCTGTCACCTCAATTCTTTTTTTCCCACCTCTCAGGGCATTGTCCAGCATTCACTGCCATATAGAAGGACCTATATTGAATAACATTCTAGTAGACTTTCCTTTATTTTTAACAAAATTTTCCTGTTTCTTAATAAATTGCTTAGCTTTTGGAAGACATCTTTTGATATCCAAATGCGTCTTCGAATTTCGGTGTTGCACTTTCGGTCCTGTGTTAAAACACTTTGCAGATGTTTGAATTGTTGTACTTGTTTCATTTTGGTATTTACAATTTGTAATTTGCATATTTGGCTGTTCCTTTTGCTGATAACCAAGCATCTTGTCTTTTTACAATTGATGTTTAGTCCTTTCTTCTCGCTTTCCTTCACTACTTTCTGTAAGCGTACTTGTAGTTCCTTTCTGGTCTTTGTAACATTCAATCCCTCCAAGACCAAATTGGTAATGTTCCATCATTACCAAGCAGATCCGTACGATCATCAAATTTAAGCAATGTCGAGCCGAGTTAGTACATAGATGGGTGACCGCCTGGAAATATCAGGGTCTCTAAGCTTGGATGTGCTGGTGGTGTAATCGAATTGTTAATTGGAGAACCGAGTTCCAATTCCAGTTGTGTTCTTTATATTCACTTACGCGTAGATACCCAAAGGCAAGACGGTGAGAATATCTCACCCGATAACTCGGCACCACACAATCCATTATGGCCAGAAAAAAAGGAAGTTGTGGAGGTACCAGAGAAGGGTTAATCCAACAAGAGTGAGAGTTA